TTCATTTTTTTATTTCATTATTTTCTATTTTTTAATTTCAACCTTTTACTTTCTTCTTTTGTTCTCAATTTCTCTTTCTCTCTTTCTCTTACTCTTTATCTCTTTCTTTCTTCCTTTTACTCTTTTTCACTCTTTCTCTCACTCACTTTGCTTTATTGCACTTTCTTCTTGTATCTTCCCTCGCGCTGTTTTCATAGTATTTTGCAGAAAAGAAAAATTCATTTTCATCTTAATGATGATCAGCATCGTCATCACAAATTGATGAAACTTGCATAGAGAAATCAAATTAGAGGAAATTATCTTTTCTTATACAGTAGTTTCGCCTATCTTCAGCTTATTGCGTCCAGAATGTAACCTCTTAATGTAGTCTCGTTTTCTCTCACACTCTCTTTCTCTTTTCCACTCTCTATCTTCCACTCTCTTTATCACTCTTCCTCAAAAGAAATAACACAAAGCATTTTGAAAATGAAGATTTTCTTGCTAAAAGTCAAGGCTTTGCAATTGATTTCGATTGTTTTAATTGTTTCAGAAGAAAGTTCAGAGTTAAATTCGAGTTCGTTATAAGCCAAACAAAGGTTAATTTCTTGTTCCAATGGAAATTTTGAACAAATGAAAAAAGTACTCAGGCTACGAACTTAACCTCTACTTTGGTAGCCTCGCACTCTTTCTCTCTTGTCTCTCTTTGTCTCTTTTTTCTCTTAATCTCTTTCTCTCTTTTTTTCTTGTCTCTCTTTTACTCTTTTTCACTTGTCTCTTTTTTTCTCTTTTTTCTTTCTCTCTCTCACTTTCTCTCCCTCACTTTTTCTCTATCACTCTCTTTCTCTCTTCCACTTTTTTTCTCTTTCTCTCTTTTTCTTTTTATTTCTTTCCTCTTTTTCTTTCTTTTTCTTTTACTCTCTTTTTTCTCTCTCTCTTGCTCTCTCTCTCGTTTCTCTTTCTCTTTCTCTTCCACCTTCTCATTTTCTCTCTCTCTCTTTCAGCTTTTGACTCTTTCTCTCTTTGTTTTTTCGTTCTTTTCTTAGAGAAACAGAAAGAAAGTAGCATCTTCATCTCATTGATGATCAGCATAATCAAAAGACTACGGAACTTGAATAAGAATATCAAATAAAAAAAATTTTCATAGTTCTAGAGAAAAAGTTCGAAGTCAGACTTGTGGTCGATATAAACCGATTAAAGGTTACTTTCTTATTCCGATAAAAGTTCTGATGAAAAGAAAAAGTACTGAGGCTGTGTTGACTATGTTGACCTTTACACGAAAGTCTTCCTCGCTGCTTCTGATTTTGTTTCTTCTTTTTTCTTCATGTAGATTTTTTTATCTTTTTCATCATGTTTGTTTTAGAGAAACAAAGTTAGAGGTTCATATCGAAATCGATATGAACAAACTAAAGGCTACTTTCTCATTCGGATAAAAATTTGTTTCATATTTTTAAGCATGCGCGATGAAAAAAACCTTATCGCGCGTGCGTACATAGCAAACTTTGAATCTGAATTTCTCATGAATGGGTGCTCAGATTTCGTTCTGACTAATTTTCCGTTTTGTAGGATTTTTAGCTGAATTTTTTGATACCTTAACCTTCCATAGACTCCTCTTAGCCTGAGCATAATCTTAACTGAAAAATCCACCTTATCTTATTCATATTTATGATAAAAAAAACTACAATTTAATTAGAAACTAAAAGTGTAAATGAAATTAGGATAATCAATAAGACAAAATCATCCTAGTTAATTAATTAATTACAATTATACAGCACAATCAGGGTACCAGGTCTATTTGATTATAATTAATTTAATAATTGTCATTAAAAACAATGATTAAGCGTTAAAATTGTAATTGATTATTCATTGAATTGATGATAAATTGCCCATCCAGAAAGTGAATCAACTTTTACAACAATTAACAAACTGCTCACCAATTTACTGGCAAAAATATCCCATACAATTAATCATCAAGTTAATCATTGAGCTTAATCAATGATGATGATAGTTAATAAGATCAGAATCAGAGTGATGATAATAGGATGAAGATGAAATTGATTCTTAATTGTTGATAGCTTGACGAAAAAACTTTCATCTTATTTAAGTGTCAGATTGTTAATGATTAAGGATGATAAAGATGAGAGAGGGTCATTTGACTCATCATCTTATCTTCATCCTCATCTTGATGATGGTTCTCTCTCTCTCTCTCTCTCTCTCTCTCTCTCTCTCTCTCTCTCTCTCTCTCTCTCTCCATCATTAATGTCAACAGATTAATGACCTAAGCCCTTGATCGGACTTGATCCATATGATATAACTTTTAATTAGATAATTGTTACTAAACATAATCACGATTACGCCACTAATTGACTCATCATGATATCCAAATAGAGATAAATTTAATTATTAGTTATTGATGAGAACTAATAAAGTTACGCAATTAACTGCTATTGATTGAATTTCGAGAAGTAGTTAAATTTAATGTTAATCATTGGATGTCAATTAATTAGTCCTTCTTATTAATCATTTCAAACTTTTTCCATTTCGAAACTTGAGTAAAAGGGAGTTGATGAATCGAATAAAGTTTCAAGTGATTCGTTTGATCGCTTGATTTTAGTCCAAAACGATTGAAATTCGACCTCGACAAAACTTTGCTTTCGATCGGTTGTCAGTTGATGGTCAATATCCTATTGGAATATCTTATCATTTCAAATCGACAATTTTTCCCAATAATAATTTGATTGACTGATTTTCGCCAAATCTCAAATGAACATCTAGATTTCTGGGTAATCTGTTAAAAAGTAATATTTTCCACCATTAGTTGATTGAATTTAATTGAATTGATTTGATTTTTATCCTTGATTTTACAAAAGATAATAATTAACAACAACTTGATTAGTCCAACTCTGAGTATCATCAAGAATTGAGTACAAAAAACATTAACCTTTATTTTTCATCCTTTCCTTTTTTATCTTCATCATTTTTTATTTGCTCATCCTCATCCTCATCATCTACATCCTCATTCAGATGATGACAAATCTACCTGTTGAAACTCAAACAAGTTAATCCAAGGCCAAAGATCCTATTGACTCGTCGAGTCCTCGAAGGTTGTTGCCATGAGAAGATGAAGATAATGATGATAAACCCACCACAGAACGAGATGATTACTTTCATTGGCACACCCAATTATCATCTTCATCTTTCTTATCATCATCAGTTTCATTATCATCAAACAATAATCAGAATCAAGATTACCTTTGATTTTTGGATAAACTTTTTGATTGTGAAAATAAAAGTTAATAAACTTTCATTGATGATTAAATAACCCGTTCAACTAACCAGTTTAACAACCTAGGCAATTTAACAATCAATGTTCAACAATTAGTTGATTGTCTTCATCGCATTTAACAGTTTCAATCCTGGATTAACATGTAATAAGCAATCGGCTTGTAATGTATCAACAGTAATCAAAGATAAATTGTTAGAATGAATCAAATTAATCTTGCCCCCTTTTAATTTTTCACAATTTAACTTTTAACTGATCAGATTGTATAATACTTGGATTGATAAATAACAAGTTGATTAACTTTGTTTATAATATTAAAATTGATTATCAATCATTTGAGTTTACCAAAAATTTGATAATCAGTTTTTAATTGTGATTCCAAATTAAATCATTCATTGATAATCAAGGTTTGTCCAGTAATTACTTAACTGTAATGACCAGTTAACCTGAATCAAACTGGTTTCAACAATTTAACAAAAATATTACTGACCAACATTTAAATTGTTCATGTAATTATTTAACCAATTTTAATTTCCAACAATTTAGTAATCAAACAGTTGATCATTAAACAACACATAAAAGCAACACATAATCTACTTCCCTTTGACAATTAATAACGGTTACTATTAATAACAATTTACACAACAATCAATCTAATTTCCGCTTATAATAATATCCTAATGATTTCCATGATTTAAATTGTAAATATTGTTACGATTCTTATACCGATCAACCTTATTCTTAAAAAACTGTCTACCGTTGTGAAATAAACACCAACTTTGACTCAAAGTGACCTTTAACCGAAACGGTCTTAGTTAATGGCCCAAGGGACATTATCATCATGCGGCAAACCGGCATCATCACGACGAGAGTGACAGAAACTATTGATCTCTTTGGTCCGAAGCTTATTGAATTCTGGAGTTCAAATAATAAGATATTAGTTGGGGGAAGGCTTTTAATTAGTATTAATATTTAAATCTTGTTACAGAAGCAAATTTGCTTTAATTGTGCCTCTAAACTTTACCATTGATGTTTGAAGTCCAAGGCCACAATAAGGGACTATTAGCTATTATTAATACAGCAAATAATTAGGTATTTTCTTTAATTTAACTCTACATCTTTGTATATTTCTTCTATTAGGGTGATTCACTCAAAGGTACGGACGTTTGAATTTAAATGATTTTTTGAAAACTCATCTGATTCTAATTATATTGTACAATTTGTGTTCACAAGAATCTAGTTTGATAATGTAGGGTGAAATTCTCGATCTAAATTCACTAGTTTTCGAAAATTCGAACTTAACATAAAAAATCGAGAAAAATCACTTTTTCTGAGTTTGGAAGGGCCTAGAAAATCAATTAATCAGTTGATTTTTTTTCTGAAAGCTTAATTATAATCACCTAAGTCTTTTTAATAGATTAAGGTAATTAGAAATTTTACAATTGATAGAATAAAGATTTAGTGGACAATCGAAGCGAAAAAGTCCAAAAAGTTTGCCGAGCAAATCAAAGGGGGGAGTATTACTTTTTTTGGAAATTTGTTATTTTTGAAAATTGACTTTTTTCGACTTTTTTACAATAATTAATTAATTGTTCGATTTATTAATATTTTTTTAATTAAAATAAAATTCTTACTATCTTCTCGCTAGTTTAAGATAGATATTAAAAAAATCGTACCACTAATTAAATCAAAAATCAAAAATGAAGTTCCGTAACTTTGAGTGAATCAATCTAATAGATAAACAATTCTAGGAAACGAAAAGTCCCAGCCTATAACCAAGAAGGATCTAAGAGACGGAGAACGCCACCTCAGGTCAATTCAACAAATCAGGTTTGGCTACATCTCATTCCTCCAAACATTTATATCATTCAATCATTATAACTCTTTCTTAACATTTTCTTATAGGGACCATCGAAAATGATCCCCGACTACGTCGAGAATCCAAGCCGTCGGCTAAAATTACTAGAAAATTTGGGATATGTGAAGATTTCAACAAAATTCGTTTTAGAAAAGGTATTTAAAAAAACCGCCGAAATACTAGATACACCCACCTCTTTTTAGAATCTCTAGTGTTTACATTGTGTTCTTGTTATAGCTCTACTAAAGTTCTATTATATTTCTAACTTAACAAATTCTATTTTATTTTATTTTACTAGATAAATATGACCTTTTTCATTTTAGGTCAAAACACCACAGTCAGTAGCAGAGTTTTCGATAACATTTCTAGATTGATTGTTGGTGTCCATGACCGCAAACCGGGATGCCATATTGTTGCTGCTTTTCAAGAGCTCAGTGTATCCCGCATCCAACATCTCAAAAGAGGAAAAGTGTTTTTACGTGATAATGCGATTCAGGATGTGCCTGGCTTTATTAAAAAAGTTTGGATGACCGAACTCATGACAATTTACGATGAAGACCATTTCGAGAAAGTATGGCAATTCGATACCGATCGCTGTGACATCCAATACACCATTGGAGTCAGTAAAAATGGTCACCGTTTGGGTGTTGTTAACGTTCATAAGCCATCCCATAATACAGTGGCCTTGGATCGAACATTTTTCGCCAATCTGTGTTCGGTCTTAGAAAGGGGTTATTTCGGTGGATTGGACAATACCCATTGTCATTAAGATCCAGTCGATAGTATGATTTTGGTGGGCGATTTCAACTTACGCAACATTTTCAATAAATGTGTTGAGGAGACAACTGAGAAAGAAAGACGTTTGTTGGCCATTTTACTAACATTCAGTTTGTTTCCTCATTCGGATCTTCCAACCAGAAATGGTCTCTGCATTGATTATATTTGTCATTCCAACAATATGGAATGTAAGAAACCTTTCGAAATAAAATCGAATGGATCTGATCACAAACCTGTTGCTGGACTTTTTCTGGAAATATAAGAAAATATCCACAATACGGGACTATTAGGTGATTTGTAGAGTAAATAATTAACATAATCAATTATCTGTTACTAGCAAACAATTAAACATAATCAGGTAAAAACTTTAATCGCTATTTATACCGAATTCAATAACCTATGGCCAATTGATTGAGATTATTTAAACTTAAAGTTAATTTGTATAGTTAATTTCATAGAGTTTGGCTAACTATTGGTTAACATTGAACAATCAAACATTTAATTGTAATTTGCCTGAAAACCTTGAGGAAAAAATTAAATTAAACAAACAATTAGCCGAAAACAATGAGAAAAAATTTGATTAAAGTCAACATGTTATTATTACAATTACAATTAGCTAATCATTAATGAGATAAATGATAACCGTTATATTACAATTGACTGTCAGCAATCAAATAAGAGTTTGTATTTAGTTAATCAACCAGAAAATTGATCAAAAACTTAAACAATTTAAACTGAACATGAAGAAAAACTTTAAATTTTTCCTTCTAATTCACAATTTATTCCGGTTTTTTTTTGGTTCCTTTTTGATTATTTATATTTAATCAGTTAACCAACAATCAAGTAAAAAATATTAATTGTTGTGATAATAATGAGGTGAAACTGTTGACTGAATTATTATATTAAATAAAAATATCACGTATTAATAGTTGATATTATATCACGATTGTGAACGTGTTGGGTTCATGTTGCAATTTAAAGTTGTATCAACTTTAAGATAACAATTTAGTAATTGTTATGTTAATTGTTAATTGTTAAGAATCTGGTAACTTCTTCATTTGTATTCACATAATTATCTAATCATCAATTAACTTGATCCCTTTCTAATCAACTTGAGTTGTGAGTTTCTTGGTTGACATAAATAAAAGTTTTTCCTTTTGTTTTTTTTTTCTGGTTAATTTTTTCAGTTAATTTCCTCTCACTGATTCTCTTGGTGATTAAATGATTTTCTAATCAATTAATTGCACTCCGTTATTTATCAATGATTAATTAACACACCAGTTTTTGGGGCTAAAAACAATCAATTGATTGTTATTATGAGACGGATTGAAGAAAAGGTGTCATTATTATTATTAAATGTTCATCTGATTGTTGTTCTGATTAACTTTAATATCAATCAGATCGTATTGTTAAAATGTGATTAAGATGATTGTTTCACTGTCTATTATTTGGATATTGTTTAGTTGTTTTCACGTTGATTAGATTAAGTTAATTAGTGAATGTGTGTGCGTGTCCAATGTTTATATCAGTTGATTATAAGTAAATGTAATTTTCCAATACATATCATTGTCTTTCCCACTGCAATTAACTCAATTGTTGGCTATTTACAAATATTACGATTATAAAATTTACTGTCGTCATCAATTTCGTCATCGTAATTAATCATTAATCATTGATTAAAGATGGAGAGAGAAAGAGAAAAATTAAATCAACAATTAACGTATACAGAACGATGAACTTGAAACAAGAATTAATAAATCATAGAAATAGATTAAATTAGTAAGAATACAATCAAATGACTGGTGAGTTATTAAAATTTATCTTAGTAACAATTTAATTAATTGGTATAGTTGATTTTCCAATGTAAATCAGCCATTGACAGTCAGATTTTGACACAATTGAGACACAATTTATTTTTTTCAATCAGCAACAATTAAACCTTGAGAATCACAGGATTGAAGTTTGAGAGACTGGGAAAAAACAGATTAACTGTATTAATGAATAATAGTAATAAAGATAATCAACTAATCATCATGATAGTAATGAGATAATAATAATGAGAAAATACAGATAATGTTATTAAATGGAGCCACTAGAAGACGTAATAATTATTACAATTACAAGGGATACAATCAATTCCATTGTTATTCAGTCAACAATGGCGATAATCATGATACATAATCAATGGAATCTTTCATCAGTTCCACCAGACGATTAACCAATGAATAACCATGAAATGGACAAAGGTCAATTCCTTCAGAAAAGAGAGAAAGAGTGAAGAATAAGAAGAAAACAAAAAAAAATCATAAGAATACAAATATAACTGTTACTGAGTTGGTTCAGCTTCAGTTCATTTATCTCGATATCATGTTAGCTTTTTCTTTCTCTCAGATTTGTTCAGATAATAACATATTAATATGTGTCCTTGTCCGTTCCTTACCCTGTTCATCTCTCAGTCTATGGATCATTGACATTCACTTTCCATTTTCTCATTGACACCAACACACAGTCAACGAAATGAAAAACAAGACAAGAAAAAAAGAGTAACAATTTTTACCTTTCAGATTCCATGAAATGAACTTTCAAGGGCCATAATTGTCGTCGAACGATCTCTTGGGATAGAGAAAAAAAAGTACACACTCCTAATTGTAAACGAATTAAGTGTTGATAATAATAATTCTCATCTTAATTCTGGTAAAATCTGGTTGAGTTAACATACAAATGATAATCTTGTCATCTTCCTTTTTTTTCATCATCATCATATGTTGATTGTCTTTTCCCTTGTTGCTTAATTTGCTTTTACTTTTTCTCCATTATTGGTTCCTTTTCATCAATATCACCATTTTGTGTGTCTTTCCATCATCAACATGTGAAAGTATTACAATTAATATAATCATAACCATCACAATTTGATGCTGTTACATGAATGCCCTTCTTCACGACGATCATCATGATAGTTGAACTTGTCAAAATTTCAACGTTAACTGATATAACTTGAAATGTGATTTACTTTCTAAATGATGATTATGATCACATTATATTCCATTCATTGGGTTAATATGATAGGTGTTGATATAAAGCTATAAAAGAAAGAGAAAGAGAGAGAGAGAGAGAGAGAGAGAGAGAGAGAGAAAATAAAATCACGTTACAAATCTGATATCAGGTAAATGGAAACAAGAAAAAGCTTCTTGAATTTACTATACATCTAATGGTAAGATATTGACTGTTGATTTAAAGGTTAATCCTGAAAGAGAAGAGAGAGAGAGAGAGAGACCAGATTAAAGAAATGAAATATTGTTACTGTAATTGTCCAATTTACTTTATAGACAAAAAAAGGTAATTAAAAGGTAAACAATTACTTACTTTATGATGAAAATAACAATTATGATCAAGTTAACTTGTCATATGTTTGAAGTAAAACAAAAGTGATTCACTTGATTCTTAAATATATTAAGTTCACGTCTATTAATTGGATCAACAATTGTGAAACGTGATTAAGTTATTACTTTATAATATGATTACAAGTTGATTATAACCAAAAAAGGAAGAAAAATGAAACAATTAAAATCTTTTCCAAACTAAGGTAATTAAAGATTTTTGGAAAAAAAGAATAAGAAAAGTCTTGGAATTAGCTACTAGGTGTCTCTATTGTTCCATAACATATGATTTTCTTTTCGTTTTTTTTTTCTTTGTTAATTTGTTTTTCTGATTAAATTGTGGGTTTAATTGTGATTCCTTTCCATCTTTCAATTTAAATTATTTCGATTTACCTTCTCTTGTTTAGGTTGTGTTTTTACCTTTCTACCATGAGGTAAATTTACTCGAATTCAATGGTCTTGAGGATTTGACGTTCGATGAAAATTGGTAACATTAACATTTCTGGTTTGTTTTGATTTGGAAAAACCCTAAACATCAAATCAATTAATCTAATGTCAGACCCTGATGATTATCAAGGTGACCCTTACTGTTCACCCATTGACCAATTTGGTTCTACTGATGATGTAAAATTTGAACCAGAAATGGACGTACCCAAATTCATGGAGAAACCTTTCATCATTAAATTGGATCTTAATTGTTTATAATTGTAAACATTGTTAACCAAATACCATTAGTACATGTACATGTGTATTTGTGTCTGTTTAATTGGCCTTTGTTTAATATATTTACTTGATTATGATTCGTATATTTAGTTAGCAAGTATAATATGCTTACTAATTATGTTTTATTTTGACAGTTTAAATTGAACACATTAAAATTGTCTCCCATAAATGATAACAATAATTAACCACCTCTGTATTGAGCAACATGAAACTTGTGATATCTTTTTGACAAACAAGAGACAAGCCAACAAATCAATTGTTTTAATCATCAACAGTCACAATTATTAGTCATGAGAAAAAGTTTCATTTCAACTAAATGAATTGATTAAAAAAGAAAAACAATTCGATTATATTCAATATAATTCTAATTTAATCTTAACGGAAGTTTTTTCTCAAATGAAATTATTACGATCAAATGGGAAAGCGAAATGAATAGTAAACAAACAATTCTAATGAAAACAACAACAAATTAACCTTCAGATTTGATTAATAATTAAGAAAGAGAACAATTAATTTAACAAAGCTAATAGTTAATCAAATGATACGATGATGAAAATTGATCCAGAAAATTACAATCTTCGTAATTATCAAAATCGAAAGAAAAAAACTTTTTTGTTATCGAATTAAAAAGTTTAAAAGGAAACCAATAACGAAAGAGAGACAATTAATAATCAATTAAATTTGATTATCGAGTCAAATGAAGCTGTAACAATCAAGTTAATGTCAAAATATAGTTTCAAGTGAAAACTATCAAGGTTAATTCTGGTTTCTTCCCAATATAATAATGTTAAAGTGACTTTTTGATTATCGTTTTTATTTCCACTTCGAAGGTTGAATAATATTGTTTCATCGTTTCATGAAAATAGCTGAAGCCTTGGTGAAAACCGGTTAATATGACGGATCAACAGAATCAACAGTAAACAAGTTAACAAACAGCAACAATCAACAACGAAATGATAATCATAATAAACAGCAATCAAGAGAGAGAGAGAGAGATAATCAACCATCGTTTCAAGATGATAATAATTCAGATTAACCAGAAAGAAAGAGAAAAAGAAAGAGGAAGAAGATGAAAAAATTGTCGAAAACTGAAATTGAGAAAACTTTCAATTCTTGAAAAAAACTTTTAGAAAACAACAAAGTTTAATTGTAGTTAATTAACTGAACATTAATCATCAATTATGCTTAATTTTGACTATCATTTAGTATTTTGTTTTCCAGGTCCGGATTCAATTGCCCTACAAACAATTTAAACGAATCAAATTAAATTGATATTTATTTACAATTAGTTAATCATTTCTCTTTAACTTGAAAGTTTAAAACAATCAACCCAAATGATTAAAACCGGATAAACTCAATTTATGATTATATTATTGTTGCGGGCTAATTGTTTAACATTGAAACAAAGTGTCACTTTTAATTTGGTTAAATTATCTGATGGTAACAATTAACAAATTACGAAACAAAATCAAGGTGAATCATTATTTAAAACCAAATAATCATCTGATTAATTCACCATTTCAATTGTCATTGGATTTTATTTTCCAATCGAAATCAAATCAAATGATTAACTGATAATTAAGCTTTAATAGTAAATCATTGCTCTTTAATTGTGATTTTTTTGTTGTTAATTCTCGTGATCAGATGATGATTTAAATCAACCAAACCCTTTGATAATCAATATAAATAATCAATTATCTTGTTTACTAATTATTTCACTTCAATTGAATTAGATTGTAATCAAAGTTGATTATATTATAATATGTGTGTGTGTGTGCAGTGATAATTAACTGATTAGCTAATTATTTGAGAGGATTGGCTGATTAATTTACTGATTACTATAATAATAGAAGTTGTAAAACGGAAAATTGAATAAACTGAGTTAACGGCGATTCTTAATTATTGACTGATGATGGTCACTGATTAAGTAAATATCAGGTCATCGAAAGGGAAAATTAGAAATCTAATTGCTAATCAGATTTAACAATAGATACGAAAAGGTAAATTAATTGTGTTGTACTTGATTGAAATCTATTAGATCATTTAAATTGTACAACCTTGTTTACCAGGTAGCTTTTTTTTTCATTTAATTTGATTGCTCAGAATGTGTTATTATGATTAGTGTGCTGATGTTAATTGTAGTGAACACAATCAAGGCTCTTCATCACAATCCAAACCCAATTAAGCTTAAACCCAAAAAAAAAGTAAAAGTTGTTATCAAAAAAAAAACTAGAATCTCAAAGTCATTTGAAACTTGATAATTGCTTGAACAATTTAAATTGTTCACCTTCATTTTTAATCACTATCATCAAAATGATCGGCATCATTGTTGTTATTATTAACAATTAAAGGTAATTATCACATTGTTAAGGGTGATAATCAATATATTGATTCTCATCCAATACAATATTCAATAATCACGTTGATTTGGTTAAAATTGATTTGTCTCCATTTAAAAACCAAATCAAATTAAAATCAATGTGATTTAATTGTTACATATTCACATTGGAATTGAATATGAAAATTGTATAATTGGACGATGGATAATTAATCATTTTTCTTGATAACAGTAAAACTGTCAATCGTTTTAGATAAATGTAATTAGATTAATAATAAAAGGTTTGGTAATGTGTTAGTGTTAAAGAAGCAATTAACTTGATTAATAATGATCAAACAGCCAGCAAACAATTGACAGTTATAAGTTTAATCAGGTAATCAAGTTGTAATTATCATTAATAATTAAAACACTGAAAAGTTAATCAAAAAAAAAACAAACAAACAAGTGAGACACAATAAGACAATCAAGTTAATCAACAATCAATATTATCAACATCAAGAGATTCAAATAATATTTATAAAAAAAAATAGAGACAAAAACCAAGACACAATCAACTAATTACATTTTCAATTGTTTTCAACAATCAAAAGTTATTCAAGTTTATTGGATTCAAGTTTAAATACCAATGAACTTTCAATAAACTCATAGAGAGACAGAGAATTGATTATATTATTTGATTGTTGATGGAAAATAATATAATATTATCATTCAAGTAAATCAGTGAACATTTAAAAGAAGAAGAAAATAAATCTAAATTAATCATAAGAATAAAAATAAAGAAAAATCTATTACATGATAAACATGATCATGATTTAATTTCAAGTTCAAAGGCCTGAGAAAACCTTGGAATTGACTTTCAATAAACACCAGAGATCAACATGATTCATGTGATTTGTAGCAACTCTTTCTGATTACTTTTACCTTTATTTACCTGACAATCAGTAGATAAAACTGAAACAATTTACTAATCATAATAATAGTTAAATGCTAATAAACCAGATAAATTAAACAGAAATGGGAAACAACCTTTTTTTTTACACCGATAACAGGGGAAACAAATTGAATCAACACCATGGATGGAAACGGTTTCATGTTAATAACAATAACGATAATAAGTAAACAGAAAGACTAATAAACATCAACAGTTGATGATAATAATTTGTTGATTGTTTACAATTTTCAACAATCAATATATTGTAATGATAAATCCTTGAGGATCACAAGATGATGTTTGTCAATGTTTTCTCATTAATTTTACATTCGATTAAATATTTTTCCATCTCAGTTACTTAGTAACCTTTTATCAATTACTTTTTTTCCTCTCTCACTCTCTATTCACTTGGTGCTTGTGATCATGATAATAATTACTCTGATTGATTGATTATAATAATTAAGTGTAGTTCGCGATTCCAACCAGTTATGGTGAGAGTAAGAAATTCAATCAGAGCAACAGGACACTTTGGAAACATTTCGGATCGGTGATGGTAATTGGGTTATTATTGATCATGATTAGACCAACGAGCTGATTCATTGTGATTTGTTGATTTCCTTAAAATGTCAATTGTTGATAGAGAAAAGTAGTAAAAAGTGTGGGTGGTTGGGTGATTTTCAGAGCATTTATATATCATGGAAAGTGAAATATCTGCGAAACTAATTGTCTAACCTATTTAAGGATCTAAAAGTCTGTTGATTTACATCAGTTAATTTAGATGAAAAAAAAAACATCGAACTGATTTTCGTTGAACTTTTCTCTCTCTCTCTCTATCCCTCTGTCTCTGAATCTTTGATGATAAAGAGAAGAGGAAGAGAGAAAAGTCTTCATGTTTGGCTTCAATTTCATGAAACTGGCAACAGTAAAATTCTGACAAACACCAAGAACAAAAACAGTAAACATGCTGATTCAAGTGAACACGAGAAAACAAAACTGTCAAACTTTTCTATCCCTCATCATGTTATCCTCTCAGATTTTATCTCATCACACTCATCAACATTTCTCTTCTCATCCTCCTCTGTAAAAGTATCACAATTTAATAAACTTTCTGCTCTTATACCGATCACATTGCCACTATTCTTGTTTTTGTGAACGATATTTCCTAATACCAGAATTTTCCTCTCTCTCTCTCTCTCTCTTTTTCCATCTTTGTTTATCATCATCTCGTTCTTCTCGCTCTCAATTATCTTTCCTTTTTGTTTACTCCCCCATTTAAATCTCTCACATAATAATAACAGAAAAACTTGTAATCTCAAGGTAGTTTCAAATCACGTGACTTGTCACATGAAAATTATATTTACCTGGTGATGAAGAAAGAGATAAAATATTGTTACTGGTGAGATTACGGCTTTGTGGATGAATAAGAAGATGAAGAAAATGAATTGCATAAAGAGAAGAGGCCAGTGGACATTATTAATGTGTAACTTCATTCTGCTTCTTTCAGATGATGAATAAATATCTTGTTTTCATGAAGTTCACCTGAATGAACTTGAACAGAATCTCTAGATAAATCAAATCAGGTTTTTTTCTTCATTTAATTTTACACTTTGGTTGAGGGAATTTGATGAAGATGAGGATGAAGATGAGGACCTGTCTTTCATATATTATCTTATATTCACTCGTTTTGCATTTCCACAATTATCAGGAATAAATTTCATCAGATTGATTCTCTTTCTCTTTCTTCATCTTCTTTCTTCTGGTTCTCTACTTGAAATTAACATCATTTCTTTTTTTTTTCCTACGAAGTGGATCCACCTTTTGACAGAAAATTTCAGGAATAGGGAACATACATTTCCAGGGCGTGGATGATAGATGCTAAATAGATACCTTTAAAGTAGTTATAAACAGAAAGAGAGAAATTAAGTTCAATAGTAATCATAATAATAATCATCGAGTATAAGAAATAATGATAATTACTGAAAAGAAAAATGACCAATTTCAATAAGAAGATTATTTTGGAATAGCCTCTAGTTTCTTTCATTAGTTCTACTGGTTATCCTTGTATCATTTGCCATCAATTTACCTCAAGGCGAAAATGGTGAAAGGTCAAGTGGACAAGTTTGGAGGTCGATTATCGATGCGAATGCTTTTTTGTTTAATTAACCATTATCATTGAACTTCATCATCAATTGATTAAGTAACTGTTTTGTTGTTTTACTTTGCAAGTCCTTCGGTTGAGATTTTTTGTGAACGTTTTTCAATAATCATCATTTCAATGGCCATTTCCCTTGGACTGTTGAGAAAAAGAGATAAAAAAAAGTTTAAAAATCAAGAGAATAGAAAAAAAACATGATTGATACAAATTCAGGATAAAATATCCCGATAGTCCTTCATCAAGACAAGGGTATCGTTCAGTTCAATGCAAAGGGAAAACTCAACTGAACCCAGGATAAGGAAACAAGAGAAATGAGATTAGAGAGAGAGAGAGAAACAAAAATTGGCAATCTGATCAAAGAGATAGAGAGAGAGAGAGAGAGAGAGAGAGAGAGAGAGAGAGAGGAACATGTATCTATCTCACTATTCTGTTACTCTCTTACAAGGCACCAACCTTGCAAAGTGAATGTACATGTAAGAGAGAAGCAAAAAGTATCAACTCGATATTTGGGTTTTGAGAAAAAAAAGAAGAGAAAAGATGAAAAGAAAAAGACCAAAGAGAGAACATGGTAACAGATGAAGCATCACCATGAAATGTAGGCAATTAACTTAATCTTAAAACCGTAGGGGTAAAACACTCACTCACTTAGAGAGAGATAGAGAGACACTCACAGTGGTTAAAACGTTTGTCAATTCAATGATCATGATAGTTGATAGAGTAACATGGAGATTTGCCAGATCCTCTCTTTTATCTGGCTTCTTTATTCACTTTCTTTTCTTACCTTTTTGATGTTTTTTCTCTCTCTCTCTCTCTCTCTCTCTCACACACACACAGATCTCACTTCTCTTCTTAACATGATTGCAATATATGCATAAAATTCATCTTGCATATGTGAAGATGATGATACCATTGATCCCAAATGATTCTACTGAGTGAATATTATTACATGACTTGACAGAACATGAGTGGAACCTCAGACATCTCTTTGTAAATACTACGTTTTCCAATTTTCACTTTATCTTCACGATCGCCATTGTGTTGATATCGTTGTTTTTTCCATCTCATCTTATTCGTCTTTTCATTTTCTTCCTTCTTCCTTCTCCTGTTCGTTTACGTTGTGAGTTACCTTCATTTCTCTCACTCCACTCACTCTCTTCCTTTTCGTCTTCCTTCCTTCATCTCCAATCCAAGGTTTCCAATTGGTTCAAACATGATACCGTTGAGTAACCTTCATATATGATCATTTGCGAAACATGATTAGGAAAAAAAAAGAGAAACAACAAATTAGTGAGTAAGATACAGTTAACTACTTACTCAGATAATGGAAGAGAACATAGAAAAGATCAAAACAGAGACAACGAGAGTGAGACAGACAAAGAGAAAGACAAACAACAAACAGTCTAATTGCAATTAAATAAAATGAATAAAAAAAAATGATAATCGATCAATTGTCAAAAAGAAATCAAAGTGACAATGTATTGAAAAAAAAGCGAAACCTTGACGTGAGGTAAACACATTCAAAAGGTTAACTTAAGGTTGTTGATGATTTTACTTTCTAATTGTTTACAATTTATCAGTCACATTAATCTAAACAAATTAAATCAACAGAATAATTGTTACAACTAAATTGTAAATTAGAGATAAGAAAGAGAAAAATTAAAATATCAATTAAAAAGAGCAATTAAAAAGCAACAATTAACATAAAGAACCTTGGACAAGACGAAACCGGAATAAAATGATTCCATTAATTAGAAAAGCGCCAATTTCAAATTAACAATTAATCTCTTAATTATGATTAACTTTAAATGCGAATGGAACGAAAAAATTAACAATTATCTTTAGCAATTGTTTAATTATTACGTTAAGTTAAATAATTGATGTAACAATTTAAATATAAAGTGTAAGATTAATTAACCTTGAATTTTATTTTTAATGTTTATTATGTTTACAAATTGGATTTGGATTTAATTTGATTTAATTTGATTGATTTAAATTGTTCCCTATTGATTAGTTTAAATGAGTAAATATATTGACATACAATTGTCTTAATTGTTGTTTAAATACACACAATAAAAAGGTCAAAAGTTTTCAGATAGATTGGTCTAAATAATTGTAACAATTAAGTAATCGGATTTTCATATTAACTGATTAAAATGAAAATGTCAAAAAGTTAATCAAGTATTAGTTTTATTTAATTTGATTATCTTGCACTTAGTCAATTAAGAAATTAAATTTATCCTCAAGAGTCGGATAATTACATGATAATTGAACATTGTAATTGTTATTAATTGTTATAAGATAAGGTAAATAACTACAATTAAATTTACGTCAATGAATATTAATAATTATCTCGTTACAAGTTTATAATGAAAACATGTGACTTTTGATTAACTTTTTGATTAATTTAGTTTGCTAACCAATGAATCAACGAATTGTATATATTAATTAGTCAATAGACAATTAAAGATATTACCAAAACAATTAAAAAAAAAGTCCACCAATTTTGATTAACCAATCAAGGTTAAGATATTGATTAATCAATCAAATCCCAAGTTAATTGTAAACAAATAAACAACCAACAAAACTAATAATAGCTGATCAACAATCAACAACAACAATTTAAATAATTGCAAGTTCATCTCAACGTAAATTCAATTTTGTTGATTGTTAGGCCTTAATATTAATTGTATTAAATCAATGATCATGTTTTCACATAAGGTTATTGATTAATGATAGTAAATAATTGATGAAGAAAATGATGAAGAAAAATGGAAATTGATTTAATTGTTAACAAGTAAACCCAATGGTTAGATAGAAAAGCAAATTAACTTTGAAGCAATTAAACAGTAATTTAACTTTGTTATTAAATAAGTAAATTTGGTAAAGTGATTAGTTTGTTTGTTAATCAACAAGAGGAAGAAAAAAAAAGTTATGGAAATGTTTAAATTGTTAACAATAATTGTGATCATTGTCTCTTCCTGTCTAATTAGTGATCATTATGTTTCCACTCATGGATATCTAATCAGCCCGGCGGGTAGACCATCAGCTTGGCGGGTCGGCTATAAGACACCAATTAACTACAATGACATGGAAATGTGGTGCGGAGGGTTGACAGTTAAACGCGCTAACAACGGGAGGTGTGGGGTTTGTGGTGATCCATATAATGGTACACGTACCAGTGAAGTGCCATCAGGTAAATGGGTAACCAAACCTCCCACCTTGACCGGAGATTATGGTCAAGGTGATTGGATAAATGTAACAGTTAACTTGACCGCTGCCCATAAGGGTTACTTTGTATTCCGATTGTGTCCAAGTCAATCAGATGAAATTGAGGTAACCCAAGAGTGTTTAAATCAACATCCATTAGAAATTATAATTAACTCATCAACATTGGAAAAACGGTACAAATATCATCTTGGTAATCAAGGTCCTAATCTTTATAATTTGACCCTCGTACTTCCGGTCAACCTTACCTGTTCTCGATGTGTCCTCCAGTGGGATTATACCTGTGGTAATCAGGGAACTACCGACATGGAAAATGAAACATTCAGAGCTTGTGCTGATATTAGAATAACAAGTAAATTAACTTCTAATAAAACGAGTGAAACAATTAACCAAAATCAACTAATCAACTCGACTGAATCAACTATTAATATAAAACCATCAACATCATCATCACCACCGACAACAACAATCATCAACAATTATAAAGATATTGATCCAGCAGAAAATGAAATTGATCAATTAATTTAATTTCCATACAAATGAATTAATTGTTTAATCAAACATTGTTAACAATTTGTATGTGTGTATATTTTTTTTGTATATTATATGAAATCTGTACAGAAAACAAAGACTAATTGTCTTATTTACAATCTTAACAATCAATGAATAGAAATTGAGAAATAAATTTAGATAAACAATTGTTGAAACAATTAACTAATTGGTGAGTTGTTTTTTTTTTCTTGCTTCTCACTAAAACAATTTACCTTTCGATGGGACAATTAATTTCAAGTTTACCTAATAACAAACGCACGTTAAATAATCATCATCAAGCTAAATCAACAATACTTTGAATAGTTAATTGTTGATACGCTTAACCGATAAAAAAACATTTCAAACTTAATTGAAAATCAACACATTCCAAACAATTAATATAACGGTAAATCTTAATGTTCAAGTAAATGATGAATTAATCATGATAATAGTAATAATAATCTAGATACAAAAAAATAGTAAGATAAACAATCAACATGAGATGAAAAAAAAACAAGACAATCAGTTAATTGTTAAGTTGGTTGATATGATGAAAGGAAAAAGTTGTTCAATGATTAAGGATGATGACATTTTGCTTCAGTTGATTTGTCTTCTCTTACTTTTCATCATACCCCCTGAAGGGTATTCATCATCATCTTCATCTTCATCTTAATCATCTTAATCATTTTTGTCTTCCTCCTTCAAATCATAATTGTTGATATTGATTGTGAATCATTTTAATTGGTTAAGTTGAATAAACTTTTTGGTAACCAAAAAAAAAATTATCATTTCCCCAACAATCAACTAATATTAACATACAATTAAATGAAACATTTTTTTAATCAGTCAACGTGCTGATAATCAAAGTTAAACCAGTTCTGATTAAAAGTAACAATCAAGTAATTTTAATAACCAGAAACAAATGATTAACTTTCACATTTCAATTGGTGTAAGTTGATCAGTAGTTGATAATTAAAACTAATTGTGGTAAAAATTACTTTTTCATTGCGACAATTTATTAATTGCTGATCATTTGGAAAATGATAATAATTATTTAGTTAATCGGATAATATTTTTAGATGATTATTATCATACTAATTAACTGACCATGGATTTAATTGTTAAATCAACTAATCAACAATCAGACAAAAATCTTGACCTCAAATGTTAATTGTAAACTGTTGATTTACTTTGAATCATTAATTAATTATTGAAATACTGTTTTTGATTCACTTTTTTCCCCTTGATTTTTAGGTTAATCAAATACACAATTAATTAATGTTTTTGTTTACATATAATCACAATTAACTTCATTGATTAATTCAATTGCAATCATTAATACCAATTAGTTGATCTAATTGATTGTTACAATTGAAAACAAAACAAAAAAGGTAACTATTAATAAATTGTTTCCTAATGAATAATAGATGAATTAATTTCTAGTAAAAGTTAATCAATTAACATAATTATCATCACAATTTAGTACAAACTAAATTAAAATAATATAAACGGATCTGAATTAAACAAAATTACAATTAAAGAGGAATGGAAAATGTTTATCACAATCAACTGGGTTAAAACAGTGACAATTGTAGTTAATTGTTACCACAATTATACAACAATTTAAAAAAAAACATCTACATGAAGACAACAATCAAAAATTAAACTTGTTTAAATTGATAAATGACAATGAAACTAAATTATAATGATAACAGTTAACGATAACTAGTTAATTTGATTATTAAACAATCAAAATGAAAAAAAGTAATTGTAAACTTTCACTGATTGTAATTAAATATAATTACTCTCAATTTCATTTGATTGTGATCTCTTTCATCACCTAACTAATTAAGTATTAATTGTTGAGTTAATTTTCTCAATTCTAACCCACCAGGTAATGGAAACAAATTGTTAACTAACTTTTTTTTTGTAATTTCTCTGCAACAATCAACTGATCAGAACAATTTTTTTTAATTTGATTGTATTATTATTACAATAGTGATACGTTGTTGACATTAATATAATTACATTGATCAGCATCGGTTAATTGTTTAACTTTCCAATCTCTTAAAAGCTCAATAAGATTCAAGCAATTTACTGATTGTAGCAAGTTCAACTTGATAAGTTTAATGATTTTGATCGTTAAGAAGGTAAATTGTTAACCTAATCAGAAAAAAATCACTTTTGATTGAAAGGTAATCAATTTTAACAATAATCATAAGAAATGATGATGAAAGAGATTGTGTTTTATATCATCATCGCTTATCCTTTTAACTTTTCAGTACAATTAAGTAAATTGTTGTATTATTTTTCCTCATTGACCAGGTAATACAGGTAAAAGTAAAAGTCAAGGTTAATTGTTGATATAATTTCTCCTCATTTTCTTTACAATTAATCCCTCATCTTGATAATATATTCTGCAATTAGAGCATAGATGAGACTAATTATCAATGATGACCAGAGATATAAACTAATCGGAAGATGAAAATGTAACGGTAAATTGTACCCAATGATAAGGAACAGTAAGTGAATCAGTTAATTGTTGAGAGACAAAATAAAACCTGAAATCAAGAGATATTAAAGGAGAGAGTTAATTGTTGTAAGATAATCATGCAAAGATCTAAGGTAAAAATGGAGCAAAAAAAAGAAAAACATTGTCAATCAATTGATTGTTGGAAACTTTTCGACAAGTTGATCAATCATAAATACATTAGAATATAAGATTAACAATTCAACTTGATTCCAATTAGATTTTTTCTCATATGAAATAGATACAACTCTCCTTCTCTCTCTCTCTCTCTCTCTCTCTCTCTCTCTCTCTCTCTCTCTAACCCTGACCGTTTTCAAGCTTACACTTGACAAGCTTTGATAAGCTGAAAATTAAGTTGATGATAATCATCTGATTGATTGTGAACAGCAATTTAAAGAGATGTAAATAAAATCAACAATCATCTAGAGAGAGAGAGAGAGAGAGAGAGAGAGAGAGAAACAAAATTACATTTCAAATTGATTATTATTATTTGTTCCCAATGTTATTTATCATGGTGAGAGATCCAGGGGAGAGAGAGAGAGGGAGAGGAATCAGCAAAAAAAGTGAGTAAATAATTATCAATGATCATTGATTAATAATATATGATAAACTATTCAATTAAGATTATTAAATGATTGGTATTACCTTGGACCAGATTTTTCCATACATATACAATATAAACATATCTCCATCTTTGATTGAATTATAATTTCAATAATTGTTGATGTTGATCCAGTAATTTGCGTTTTCTTTTTCAATATTTTTCCACCTCCTCTCACTCTCCACCCTCTCCCTGTCTCTCTCTCTCTCACACACACTCTCTCTCTATCCTCCTTGAAAATGGTTCCTTTGGCAAACTTCAATTGATTTGCAAAGCATAACAAAAAACAACAACAATAATAATAATAAGAAAAGGTAAGAAACAGAATCAAAGTGATAATGATAATAGTTTGATAATCATAATGAGAAAATGATAATATGCATAAAGTAATAATAAGAATAGAGATTTTTTTTTCTTAAATATTTTGTATTTTTTGTTTTCTTATAGTAGAAAATGAAGAAAAGTAAAAATCAACGAAAAAGAGACAAACGCTATTCCATCGAAAGATGAGAATTGGGTCGAAAGGTCATTTAATTGTTGCAAAACAACGACTCAATTATTCACTATCATCTATCTTATTAAACATGTACATGTATATATACTCATTTTCTAAGCGTACTTACACTCGCTCACTTTTGGTGTATATTCATCATGTAAGAGGAATTAGTGAGCGAGAGATTCAAGAAAAAGTATTCACACTTATATGTATGTGTGTATTCATCAGGTAGGAAAAGAACATGTAAAACTAAATATATTTGAAATTCACTTGAAAACAGAACCTTGAGCATGATCCTCAGGGTGAATCGTCTAAAGATCATTTCGTCGACACGATGACTTCTGAATGAATATCTGATTGTGACTCAATTTGTATATTTCAGCTTTTTTTTCACATTAAAATCAACCGAGCTTGTAAACAGGTTATCACTGTAAAGTGGAAGGAATTAAAATTAATAGTGAATTAAAATAATAATAAACAAATTTCAATCTTAAATTACATGAAATTATCAAGACAATGATCAGAAAAGAGAGAAAAAGATAAAAGTTTTACCTGTTGAGAAGGAAAAGTTTTTCCTTTCTGACAAGTTGTCAAGTGAGAGTAAATTGTAGCAACGAGCCAACAATTAGAGTTAATCAATGTTACCCTTTCACTTTCTTCTACCCTTTAGAATGGAAATTAAATTTTAAAATGGTCACTTTTGTTTACACTGATTGTCCGAAGTGAAAATAAGATGGCACTAGTTGCTCATATTTCCTAAGGTAAATTTTTTCTCTTCTTTTCCTATTTGGTCTTCTTGTTTTCCATTTATGGATTTGGGTTCCTTGTCCATTGTGACGCTACTTTGAGGATAAAAGATAAAAGATAGGAAATCAAAATGGTTGACACAATAATAGAATGAATGGTTAATTGTGATAATCAGTGTATCTTGTTTACAAAATAAATTGTTCAAGTGTTTGGACAATCAAGCGAATTAAATCACAAGGTTAATGAGTATTGATGCATAATTAACGTTTTACCTTTTAATGGATTTTCCTCTTTTCTTCAATGTTACACCGACCATTAAAATAGCCAACATATTATCTTGTTTGAACATTTGTTATCATTAGGTTACCTTTCGCATTGTTTTACGACAAAAGAACAATTTATCAAATTCCAACAGGTAAATTTTAACACAATTAACAGCTCCTTAAATTAGACGTTAAAACCACCACTACTCTTGGAAAGATAACAAGTCCATGTTATTGTTTCTTTTTCGGTTATAAAATTTCCTATAACAAAGAAAGAAAATCTCATCTTATCTCAGGAATTGACCTTCTCCATTCAATCCATTTGATGACAGAAATTGATTAGAAAATTAGAATTCAAATCTAATCCAATTTAAGGACAAACCACCAAATTGACTATCAAAATATTGACCAAAAACAATCAACCAAAACTCAATAATCCAAGAAGTAAGATGATCAAAAAACGACAAAACCATGAGAAAGTTAAAAGAATTCACTTTTAAACCAACTCAGTACCTTTTAATTAATCACAGTCTTCATTTTAATTAATCAAAACAAAGAGACAATTAATTAAACTAATTGTCAACAAAAAGAAAAAAAGAAAATTATTAATCCGATCCAGAGAGTCAATCCCGATATCGATATTTTTAATTAGATAATAAATGTTGGCGGTCAATGGAAGAGATTTAATTGTTTACACTTTTCTTTATTAATCATTAGCTAATTTTTTCCCCAATTAAATTGTTTACAACTTGAATTCTAATATTTAAAGTGATCAATCCATCAATCGAAATGCAAAAAGCTCTTGGACCTTCAAAAATCTTTGTGAGAATATGAGATTTTGTTTTGTTTTTCTTTTCTCTTATAGCTTCCGAAAGGTAATTAATTCAACAATTTGATTCTCTCTCACATTGATTGGCACGTTTTTCTATTATATAATTGTTTTATTCTCCTTGTTTTTGTTCTTATTTCTCTTCTAGTTGTGTGTTCTCCTTGGAATTCAATAATTTCCCTAAAATGTGTATTTATGAAGACAAATTAAGACACTTTGGATTTGGCGTGTAACCATATTACCTAACACTTATTTGATTACATAGACAGAGAGATACATGTATAGAGTTTGAGAGAATCAACAAGCAATCAAGTTAAACATGTGATAAACAAACGAATCAAGAGGGAAACAAATGATGAAGAAGAGGATAAAATCAAGAGAATTCAATCAAAACAAATATCTCTGGATAGTGATAAGAGTGATGTATATTTGATATACAGAAATGTCTTAAGTTACAATTGGTAAACAACTTACAATTTAAAGTAAATTCAATGGATTCAAATATTTGATTGAAATTGATACAATATCAACAGTTGTTGAAATAACAACAACAACAACAACAAAAGCTTTGTTACCAATGGAAAGGAAATTAAGTTTCAATATTCAAACAAATTTACTCTTTAACATTTCAATTCAATTGTGGATCAGCTGTTGATGGTATAACGATTTTGATACATTTCTCCTGTTGAAGAAAAATAATCCTGACGAAAAAAAAAGGATTCAGATTGAAAATTATATCCAATTGATCAAGGAAAATCAAGTCAACAAGTGAACAGATTTTGATACAAGTTAATTGTGTTAAACTGTAACGGATTTCTCACCAAAATTACCCACACACATACACACTTACATTGAGACATGAAGAAATGGAGGAGAAAACAAAAAAACTCTTACCTATTAAGTGCAATTCACCATGATACCAGTTTAATGATATCAGAAAACGATTTCAATTGAATCGTAATGATATTTGTTTCACTTAAGTGTTTATCTTCACCCCACCACAAACTGTTCACTTGCTGTTTTATTGGGGCTTTTGGTTTTGTTTTTACTCATTTTCTACCACAATACCTTGTTATTGTTCAATTACAATCAAATAATGTCTATTGATCCTGCTATCATCGCATCATCAACATCATCAAGTTAAACAGCAAGAAAAGTACAACAGTGGTCACAAAATATGAAAATGACCTCAATAAGTGATTAGAATTGTTGTTGTTATTCTTGTTGTTAAAATCGAAAGGTTTTACAAGATGGAGAGAGAGAGAGAGAAAAGTAAACGAACAAAGTAAAACAAGAAAAGAAGGTAACCAGTACCGGGTAGAATTATAAGTTCTTCAAAAGAATTGGCACAAACCGTAAAGTTTCTTTCTTTTCTTCTGTCTCTTTTTTCATCTTTTTTCTTATACTTTTCACCTTAATTTTCTTTTTTTTTCTTGTTAACTTATCTTTATTTTCTTTCTTCAGGTTTCATCTCCCCTGCGCTCTCTCTCTCTCTTTCTATCTCTCTTTGCCGTCTTCCTCCATTTCACTTTCATCCGGGTCACTGAAGTTGTCTTTATTATTTACGAACTTGATCAGCAAAAGTTTTACGAATCAATTTGGGCTCAAGCAAAGTAACAAGAAAACAAGTAAAAGGATCAACAAGGAAAAGTTTTCTACACCTTTCGCTTCTAATAACTTCATCTTTTTCTCTCTAATTTTCTTCCTAAAATATTGGTGTGTCGAATAATGAAAAAGTAACTCTCTCTCTCTCTCTCTCTCTCTCTCTCTCTCTCTCTCTCTCTCTCTCTCTCTGGACCAAATAGGAAAGGTGATAATATGCTCTTTCACTATGCATTTGCAGGGAGAGAAAAAGAGAGCAAAGATATGAGTGGAAGGAAAATTCTATACCAGAAATGTAAAGAAAAGAGGGAGGAGGAGGAGAGAGAGAGATGAATAAGATTAAGGTACAGAGAAATAAATGTTAAAAGAGAGGGAAGAGACAAAGAAAGTGGAGAGGGAAAAGGGAAGAGGGAAGAGGATAAAACGTGATCTCTGTTAGAAGTTCAACTAGCAAGGTGTAAACGTTACATTTTGACCTCAGGATTCAACGGATGTCAAATAACAACAACAACGAGGAGTTTTAAAAGCTACTTCTTTAAAGACACACACGAGATTCTCATTCATCTTTAAAAAGATTTACTATTTTCCCTCTCTCGTTCTCCCTCTCCATCTCCCTTTCCCTCCCTTTCAATCTTTCCCTCTCTTTATCTCCCGGTTTCTCACTCCATCTCTCCCTCTCTCTCTCTCACTTTACACGACTCAATCCAGGCCAATTTTAAACCAATTGAAAAGAAAGAGAAGAGCCCGTGCTCCCGCCGTTTCCTCCATATCATCATTCACTCTCCCTCTCTTTTCATCCTCTTTCTTTCCACCACCTCTGACATTCACATTTAAGCCTCGTGGCCTACCGATAGTCAACGTCTGTAACGTGCTTCTTGTTTATTGTGACCTCATGCGGAGGGGAAAAAGAGGAGAGTCAATGGAAAACATCTCGGGAAGGAAAAAGGAGAGAGTTCAACATAATTTTGGGGGGAAAAAGATAATGGACTGAGGGAGAATGAAGAGGGAAAAGGCCAAACATGTGATCAAAAACAAGAAAGAAAGAGAGAGAGAGTAAAACAATTTCCCTCAAGATGTCAAAGTGTGACCTTTTTCTCTGCGTATGACCTGTCGCTTGTTATGATGGCATTTGAATGGTGATGTTAAGCATCTTTATGATGATAAAATGATCTCGAGATGATATCGACCTTTCAAGACTTTAAATTATTGGAAAACTAATACCAAACAATTAAATCCGCAGGAAAAACACAGTTTTGTTGATTGTTTCCATTTAGAGGTCAAGGTTTACATGGATCAAGACACAGACACAATTACTGAGGATACGAGAGATTATCACAAATAGAAAGTAATTCATCTTTATCTTCATCTTCTCATTGTTAATTTAGATTAAGGACAAACCAACGTTCACATTGAGTTAAATGGATAATCAAAGAGCAGAAAATGTTATCAACTAGACTCATTTGTTTTACTTTTTTCTCATCATCATTTTTTCATTTTGATCTAAATTCTATTTGATCAGAAAAATTATATTTCCTTCCTTCCAGAGCACGTCGACTGTTAAGTGCTATTACGTGGATGGAATCATTCATAATCATGATTAACCACCAAACACCATCGAGAGAGAAAATGATTAACTACAAGCCAATACTGAACAATATTCCAAATACAAGTATGAACAACAATCTGAAGCTTAATCACAATTAACATAATCTATTGGTTTCAATGATTATTAGGTTACATCGTATGAACAATTTAACAATTGATTACAAAGATTCATTGGATTTTACAGTTATACTATTTACCGTTATTGTTTTGTGTGTTTCTGCTTTTATAACTTCAATGACAATTAATCAATCACTTGTTATTATTTTCTCTTTACCATTAATTAAATGATTAATATTATCATTTACTTGTTAGAAATAGTGACGAGATATATTTCAAAATAGTAATTTGAAATAATCAATTATCTCCCATGAAAATAAGTTGAATTCATTGATATTATAAATCAACAATAAATGAACTAAATTGATTACGAATTAAATTGTAGTTTTTACTTTCGAAAGGTAAATTGTTAAATCAATACACATTTTGAATGTTAATAATTTTTCATTGGGTTAACAATAATTAACATTCAATGATTAGTTTTAATAACCTGAAGCTTTTTTGATTCACTTGATTAACTGATTTGTTGATTAGTTGTAATCATTGTAATCAAATGATACGTTAACCTTTTTTTTGTTGTCAAATGTAAATCCCAACGATTAAAGTGTAAATTGTTATCATTTTAATTGTTACAATTAAGCAAAAACCAGGAAAACAAAATGAATCATCATCATTATTAAATCACAATTAAAAAGGACTAAATTGATTGGATGCAAAAAAATGATCAATGGAAAGGAAAAGTAATTAAAGAAAAGGAAACCAATGGTTCTAATCGTTTGATACAATTAACTAATGATAATTGTTGAAAATGGACTTGGGAACAATTAAAATGATACAGAAATTAACTGATTATCACGTGATACGGAAATGAAGATGATGATGAAACTATTTCTCGATAGTAACTTGATTTGGTTGATTAACTAAATTCAGGTGAAAAGACATTGAAGCCTCAAAGGGTTTACCTTTTTACTAATTATAATTAAACATAATTTTCCTTCCTTCCTGAATGAGTGAGAGAGAGAGAGATGATAAATAGTGAAAATCACCAAGGGTCATCAATAAATAATAATCATCATCATCATCGTTGGGAATCAACGTTATAATTAATGAATTGAAATGAGAATCATCAACAATCAAAACTGAAAACTGGAATCAAATTAATCGGAAATGTTTTTTATCAATGGAAATCAATGGAAATGAATCAATCCTTTCAATTGTCAGAAATTAATCATGATTATGATTTAAAAATTTTATATATGTCACAATGAGCAACACTAATTGTTTGGTAGGTTAAACTAAATTGACAACAATTTAAATTGATTAAGCAATCACTTCGTTACTTTCATGGTTCATAAGACATTGAATTAAAACCCTTTCAAAACTAAATCACTCTCATTGTTATTGGTTAATTTAAATTGTTACTTAATCATTACTATTAACTAGTAATTAACTTTTCGTGCTATTTTATTATTGTCTAAACATTTTACCTTTTAATTAAAAATTGACAAACCAATTAGAAAGTATCGAAAGAGTTTCCTAATTGTTTGGTTGTTTTTAATCAACAATCAACACTAATCGTTAACCCATAGAGTGTGTGTATACTTTTGATTGTTAATTAGATTGTATTTAAAGGGCATCACCATTCCGATCAACAATCATAAATACATATTAATAATTGTGATGATAAAGAAAAAAGTT